CACAAAGAGAGAGATCGCATTTGCCAGTGCTGTTGTTTTGGAGCCTGTACAACCCAACAACACGTAGCACCACTGTTACTTCAATACTGGTTCTCACCAAACAACAACAGCACAACAACGCCCCATTTCTACTCGTATTGGCCGCCAATTCCATGTTGCTGACCATCGTGGGTGGTCCAGGCAACCAGCTGCTGCTCCTGTGCCGGGTCATGGGAATGCTTGCCATTATGGCGTCACTCAAAATTCTTGGAAACATTCGGAAACTAGGAGATTCCTGGGAACGTTTTGCTCGACCCAATCCATGTAAGTGCTGTTTCGAAACAATTTTGGGGGCGAGGCTGCAGCCCATTCCTTTTGCTCACCCGTGGCTCTTGATTGCTACCGTCTATTTATTTATTGTATATAGTGGTCTACCACGCCGGTGGCCCCATGCTCATTCTGGGATGGTTCCTCTTTCTCATTGGGACCACCGCTGTCACGGGAGACAACTTCCAACAGTTTTTACTATCATCATCGTCACTTGTCCAGTATATTCCAATCTACTTGACACTTACGATGCAGTACGTCCTCGCTGCGTGACTGGGAATGGTCTCCATGTCGCTTCTAGATGAAGCGGTCCCGAGTTTGACGATCCTATTCTCGGATGAATGGTCGATCCATGGATGGTCCATGAGATCTTTTTTCGTGATATGATATTTGGAACATCATGATTGGCAAAAAAAAGACAGACACAAAACACAAGGCGAAGGAGCAACACGACGCTATACCTCTTGTTAGCTAGCTAGAGCGGAACCAATTTTGGGTTGCTCGCTCTAGCTGGGGGGGGGGGGTTCGAGGCCGCTTTCGCAAGCACCGATTATCTCGGCATCGTACAGTACACACAGTCGGTGGTGCTGCCCTGTAGCTAGCTAGCAGCTAGCTAGTGTGGAAACAAGGGCGTGATTTGACTGGTGTCGGCGAATTGATAGAATTTGAATACCAGCCCAGCTCGACTGCGGCCAAGTACTGTTGCGTTTCTTTCGGACTCTCTTAGTCATGCAACATCACCTATACATGTAACTAACTGGATGTGCTTCTTTGGATCACCTAAACTACTCGCTCTGGCTAGCTGGCTACCGCTAACTAGCTCAGCTTCCGAGGACAGCACACGGGTACATCGTAGTGGTACAGTAAAGGTATCCACCAGTACGCATCGCGGCTTCGATAGAGCTAAATAAATGATCGAAAAAGCCAGAAATAAAATGTAGAAGAGTGAGTTCACAAGAGTCCCACTCCTGTCTCAATTCAGACTGTTTCTGTTTCTCCGAAAGCAGCGAGGACCATGCTGACCATGCTCGTCCGTCAGAACACAAATGAGTGTTGACGACGAGCTGGAGAACATGAACTGCACCGATGCTGCTGGTCGTGGCATTAGCAGTGGACGTGATCGAAGGGATGGTCATGCTTATCTAAATGATGGTGAGAACATTATTGGGGAAGAATCCAATCTCGTGCAGGGAACTGTTGTAGACGGAAGCAGACGAGCGCCACCTGCTGTTCCGTCAAACTCGCAATACCTGCATTTGGCGCAATCAACTCTACCACCACCAATGCACTCCTTGACTACAGAAGAAATAAGTGAGGGTCAAAAGCTTTTGGGTGGTCTAGTGGAGCTCATAGAGCTAACAGAAAACCAACGGCAGCCAAACACTCTCGACAACACGGAAAATGGAAGCATTACAACGCTCAGCTTTCCTGGAGCTCACCCGGTGGTCGGATTGAGAAGCAGTAATGATGACTCTGGAAGCATCAATCGCGACGCTACCATAGGAGAGCACTCCGTTCATGTTGTTCGAGAAGATGTCATTGAGGCTTCAGTCTCGGCCAGTGACTACGAAAGAGCTGGTCCCACAGAGAATGCAGAGCCAAGAATACCCAAAGAGAGATCTAAAACGTACTGGAGGCGAAGGCTACTTCGTGTCCTTTCATTGGAAGTCAACATGGCTTTCTTTGCTGTAATAGTGGTACTACTCATACTCTTGGCAGTCTCAGAGAATACTGGAAGCGACAGCGGCAACAACCGCGACAACAAAAGCCAATCGCTAAACCAACAAAATGGAGCAGTCCAAATTCCCGCAACTGCAGAGTTGAGAATATCCATAACGCTGGCGCCAACAACAAGTTTTCTTGGCTCACTCAGTCTACCCGACAACACACTTTTGGCTATGGAAAAATCAAGATCTCCCCAGTCCAAAGCCTATAACTGGCTGATCAACAACAGCGTCAACAATCAAAGTGCTGCCCTGAACAATCTACCAAAGTGGAGACTGATACAGAGGTTCGCTCTGGCCACATTCTACTATTCTACAAGAGGGGACAATTGGGTGAATCATCATGGTTGGTTGGACTGGGCGACCAGTGAATGCACTTGGGAACAACTACCAGTAATTTTGACCCAAGGGGAATCTCCACCGCCGCCCTGTAATGAAAAAGGTGAAAATCCAGGCAATGTCATTTTGGTTATCCAATAACATGGAGGGGAACAATCCCACCTGAGATATCTTTGCTGCGGGAAAGTTTTGAGTCTTTAATTTTGACTCGGCAATTGCAACTCAAAGGGGCCATCCCAACCAAGGTTGGAATGCTGACCAAATTGACTGAGTTGAGGTTGCTGACGACAAACATTCTTGGAACAATCCCAACAGACCTCGGTCTGCTGCAAAGTCTTGGCATGCTCTGGATCACTGATTGCCACCTTTCTGGGTGCATACCTTCAGAGGTTGGCATTTTGGGCAGTCTATCTACATTGGTGCTGTCAATGCCAGATCTAACGGGTATGTCTCCATGGTTTTGAACGGTCTCACTCATTGACAAAAATTGACACTTTCTGCACTCCCTCCAACCTAGGTTCAGTGCCTAGTGAACTTTCCAATTATCTGGACTGGAATGTGTATTGATTGATCGATGCTATGGCTTGAATATGGAATACGTCCTTCAAGATGCCATCTGGAAAATGCAACAGCTGGAGGACCTGACCCTGCGAAGCCGGATTTTGGGGAATAAGATTTCAATTCCAAGTAAGAACTTAGACAAAGGCTCTAGAGTGGTTGAAACAATGACAAAAGCCTCACTCTTCTGGTGCATGCTCTGTCGAAGCTGAAATTGGAACAATGATAGAACTGACATCCCTACGAGTGGTGGACTGGAATCTTCACAGCACTATTCCAAACCAAGTTGGAAAATTAGAGAAGTTGGTAAGCAACCAAAGTATGTTATGAAACCGTGCTAATAATCTTTTGAGGTTGCCTGACCTGTAGCTAGACTTCTCTTAGTTTGCATGGCAATGCAGTCTCAGGAACTGTGCCGCCAGCCTTGTTGGAGTTGACCAGTGAGTATGATGTATATTCTGCTTCACCGCACACTTTTCTTAACTCATGCCTTCCCGTTCCAATAATTTTCCTTTCTTTGCCTTTCCATCAGATCTGGTCCATCTAGATCTGGGCTAAAACCAATTGGAAGGAACACTGTCACCTGATTTCTTCTCTCAGCTCACAAAGTTGGAGGTCCTTGTCATCAATGGCAACCATTTCTCAGGTTCAATCCCAACAGAAGTAGGCCGACTGTCTAGTCTCTGGAAACTAGAATTACAGAATACCAGCGTTTCTGGCACACTTCCTACCGAGCTACTTCTACTGAAGGGGTTGGCCAGCTTGGTAGTCACAAACACATCCTTGTCAGGTAGCATCCCTGAAAGCCTGTGTGACAAAATGTACCAGAAGGAAATCAAATGCTATGGCCATCCACCATGTAAAAGTTTGTCAGTGAAAACCAACAAAACAGTCTGCCATGGCACTTCTTTGTGTGGGTGTGATTGTGGTCCTTGCCAAACTAACTAGCTGGCTAACATAAAATTGTGTCAGCAAAGTGTCCATCCCAAAGATTGATCACTGTCTCTGCTGCCTGTTTTCATTGTCTCTTGTGTCGCCCTGTCAAGTTTGGTCCGTGCTATGAGGCTTTTACAAATCGTTTTGGTTTCCCCAATCAGTCTTTTACTTTGAGGCGAGTGGGTGCTACGTGAGGCGGGTTGTTTGTTCCTTGCACTTGCTGGTGCTGGAGCGCTGGTTGAACTTGCTGTTGCTGGTCGTGATGCTGGTGTTGTTGCAGCTGGTCTTGTGCGCTAGCGTAGTTGTCTTCTTCATGAGTAGAATCTTCCTCTGCAGCTACATCCACAGCGTTGTTGTGGCTTTTTGCCGCCGGCTTTTTGTCTTCAGAATCTGACATGATGATCGTCGCAAAAATTTTGCGATAGCTTTCGCGACGGCCTGGCCGGTTATAAACACAAACGCCGCGAATGCAAGTCACAAACTTGGGACCACCACCGCAACTGAAAAACGAGGTTTCAGTTGGTCTTGGAGGGTACTTGGGGAGATCTCCAAATGTTCACTGCTGTCTTGTGGTTGCTTGAGGGCGAGTTTCGTTGGATTGATATGGGTGCAGTGAGCGTGACAAGTGTGGCCAGGTACTAGTAGCTAAGAGCTGCACTAGGGCAAGCTTCAATTACCAGCTTTGCTGCTTGTTTTTAAAATTACCTCAACTCCCTGGGGTGGGATTGTGGGGAATTCTAAAACGTGATTACCCCTTCTTCCTGCCTGATTCGGGGAAACTGGGGAAAACCAAAACAGCGACGATGGCAACTCTCTGTCACCTTTGCCGTTGTTTTTTGCAACACAAACGTCCTGGTGCTACACAAACGTCCTGGTAAGACTATGATACTAGACTACTGTGTTCTCTTTTCTTGGATGATTGATCCGCAATTCTGCTTCTTCACAAGATCGATCGATCCAAGAAAAGAACAAAAGTGAGGAATCGGGGCTGCAGAGGTGCAGAGGTGCATGCGCCCTTTTCGCGCGAAGCTTCACTACATGGTTCCGACGCTCGAACACCTTGTTATTGGTTCCAGTGCACTTGTGTCTGAGCAGTTTACGTTTTTCAGTCGTGGTGGGCAAAATCGAAGTTGACACCAGTGATCATCGCGGAGTTCAGCTTCGCAGATACCGGTAGGTACGGTAAAGGTATCTGCTCCCCATGAAACTGGGAATACAACCGTGTACATGGAGTACCAGGCTCTACGTGTTACCCTGTCTTTCCTTATGTTTGTGGGTGTTTCTACCTTTCTCGACCTTCCAACCTGCTCGCTCACTGGAACATCCTCACTGGTATCAACGAACGATGGAATCCTGCATACAAGCTCGAACGGAATCTTTAAGTCAACGGAATCTCGAAATCTCGATTTCGCTCCAAGAAGAAGAAGAAGTCAATCCAAGCAAAAGATCGCAAGTCGCTCGAAACTCGCAAAGTCCTCGAAAATCACTAAGTCAGAACGGCAAAGAGGAAATCCAGCAGATCACAAACAAGATAACAAAACACAACAAGAAACAGAACAGTAACCACAAAAATTCTTAAAACTAAAATGACATATAAAATTTGTTTT